TCCAGGGCCTCACTCTCTAATTATTTCCCTAAAAAGAAAGTTTCCTGCACAACTTCACGTTACGCTCTTTCCAATGACACCAAAAACATGTCATTCGGTTCAGTAGTTTCGGAGGAGTAATTGTCACAAAAAACCTGCTTGCGTATTAAATAAGTATAGATAGATAGATATACTGTTATAGTGTCCCTGTTGCTGTTTTCTTTTTAGTATATCAATTCATCCAGGCTCTCTCTCTTTTTTCTATTGTAATATTTGCGCCAACCCAAATTCAAATCTTTATAATTAATACGCTACATTACACTTTGTCGGTTGAACTCCTCCGCCATTTCTTAACCGATTTTATCCATTGACGTCTCATTGGAAAGAGCGTGTCGAGTAGATCTGCAAACTTGCCTTACATTTATGAAAAAGTCCCTTAAGCTCTGCCCCAGTGGCTTTAAAGGTTCCCATGTTTTCCTTATGAAGAACATAATTGTTTACATTTTGATCAGCTGTATAATTTAATTGCTGTTATTTATCTTTCAATTCAACGAAACGCATTGGGTTCATTTACTGATTTTGGCTGAATAGAAATGAAATAAATGTACTACTTTTAGTCCAGTCAATGAATGATCCAAAAGTAGGTGTAGAGTGCATGAGCAGGTAACTAAGCGATTCCTTCAGAAACTTGTTCAGGGGGCTTAGGGTGTTAACATACCAAAAGTCCTGACTCCTAGGTGGTGAGCCAGGGGGTGGAGGGGGGAAAAAGGGGGGGGAAAAGGTACGCATTTTGGGTTTTTTTATTATATCTCGAAAACTATCAACTTTTTGTATACTATAGTAAATTATAAAATTGAAGAAGATTAAATTTTCTACAAGAAAAATATATAATGTGTTTATTTTGGTTCAACAGATTACGAGTTATAACTTATTTAATTGATATCTTATTAAAATACTCCTTCCATAAGAAATGCATGTAAATTAGTATGCGAAATGGGGCGAATCCTATCCGCCCAAAGGAAATATAATTGATATTCTGGAAATCTTGACAAAATTTCCAGTAATTTGACACTTTAATAATGAAATTTTGTCAAAAATTAAAGCGAGGGCGAGCGTTTAAAAATGGGATGATTTAAGGTTTTTTTTTATATTTCCAATAAAAAAACACCAAAACTTGACATTTTGTTACCTTGCCCTCGCCTTAATTTTGGATCAATTTTAATGATTAATGTGTCAAATTACTGGAAATTTTGTCAAGATTTCCAGAATATCATTTATATTTCCTTTGGGCGGATAGGATTCGCCCCATTTCGCATACTAATTTACATGCATTTCTTATGGAAGGAGTATTTTAATAAGATATCAATTAAATAAGTTATAACTCGTAATCTGTTGAACCAAAATAAACACATTATATACTTTTCTTGTAGAAGATTTAATCTTCTTCAATTTTATAATTTACTATAGTATACAAAAAGTTGATAGTTTTCGAGATATAATCAAAAAACCCAAAATGCGTACCTTTTTCCCCCCCTTTTTCCCCCCTCCACCCCCTGGCTCACCACCTAGGAGTCAGGACTTTTGGTATGTTAACACCCTAAGCCCCCTGAACAAGTTTCTGAAGGAATCGCTTAGTTACCTGCTCACGCACTCTACACCTCATTCCTTGACTGGACTATTTAATTTACAATTTAAATAATCGAAAAAGCCTTGGCAATTTGATATATTTTACCTCCTATATAATGAAGAACACCTACAGTGTGAATATTCCCACAAAAAATGAACAAGGATGTTAGTCGAAGTGTTACTATTTTGTAGGAAACACGGACTTAACTTTATGATTATATTGGCAAAGGAAAACAATCTAAGGCTGAATTAAACTGTTACGGCAAGGACATTAAATATATGTTTTATTAAAAGTCAAGAGATTTAAAATAATATGACTACATCCAAAAAACTTTAATAAAACTTTCATTGAAGGATTTGCATTATTCACATTTAAGGGAAACAAAAAACCATCTAAACAATATTAGGCCTTTCAATCCTGCATTTTTTCAGGTAAATTTATCCATTGAGTATACACGTATATAATTGAATATACGTGTACTCAATTACATAACATACGTTATAACAGTAACTAGCCAAATTATTCCCAATTGAAGCAAATACAATTGTGATAGAGAGGTTATGCAGAAAATCAGGCAGTTCTTAAGTAATGTAAACAAAATGTTATCGTTGTAAAAAAATTACAGAAATTTGTAAACGTACTGGCAACAATGGGTAGTACCATGCAGACTACATTATCATTGACGAAGATCAACATGGACAACCTAATGCGGCTATAAGTGGGAAATATTTGTAGAATACACTAAAAAACTAGATCAGCTTTTGAAAAATTATAAAATATTTACAAGAAATGTTGATTATATGGAACTGTTAGGTACGTGATCTATGAGTTGAGTCTTTTAAACTCATCGGAAATTATGACTTTTATTAGGTTTTAAATAAGTTATTTGTTTTTAAACAACTACCGTACTTTACTTCTTCGCAATTGCTCGATTTCGAGCAACATGTACACTTGTAGTAAAATGTTTCATTTCAACCAAGTGTTTGTAGCAAACTGTTAAACTGTCAAACTTCCATTACTATCCAAACTATCCATTATTTCGTAAATTGCCCTTTAAGGTCATAATTCATTTCTAAAGCGAACTTTCCATATACCTACCTAATGTTAAAAATACCTTAGCTGTATTTATTTGTTTGTTATTCTTTCAATTTATTTCCTTATTAAAATAAGTGTGTTTTTTTTTGTATTAGGTACTGTATTCTGTGTTAAAACATGTAGCACATGAAATGGTTGATATCACCTCATTTTTCAGGATTCTCTACGGAGAAAATTTGTTTGAGTAGGTTGGCGTATGTCTCAAATCAAAGAAATAAAATGACTCGACTTAAATTACTTAACACAGGTTATCAGTAAGGCATATAAGGTTTTCTTAAGTTCTCGATTCTGGAAACACTTTGTTGCAGCATGTTACCTCGAATTGAAGCAGATCGTTTAGCATTCATTAGAAGTCATCAGTTAAAACTGAGAGCATAAATACCGGTAATGTAAGTGAGCCTTGACGACGCAAATAGAGATATTTAAAATTAGTTTCTAATAAGTTTTCAAACAACTCTAAGATGTAACTAAAACTATTTGAATTTAAGCTTAATGTTTTTCTTGGCGTTATGTTTCATATGCGGCTCATTGAGCCTCACGGGTTCTCTAGTACAATACAATAATTGAAAATATGATGTCATTTTGAGAAATTTTACAAAACTACAACATAGCAGCGCATAAATAAAATATTATTAAAAGCAACAAAGATTAACAATCCATTGATTAAATGAATGGAAAAGGCGTTCCTGTCATCCCACAATACAGCGGGGTTTGCAAAAGTTATACTAGTTTTTGCAGGCGTTGTTTCGTATGGTACTCAGCCATACATATACAATAAGTGCCGGCTATGTATAACAAGCTTTATTTTTACAATGATTTCCTTGTAAAATCAAATAACTCAATTGTTAATATAAGTGTAGTAAGAAGATTTGTTCACTCATCTATTATTACAATTAATACAATAATAACATTCCCCAAAAATTTAAGTTGCCTTTTTTAAAATAAAACTTATTATGATATCTTCTGGCCAAAAGTTTAATTATCGTTCTGATTTTAAAATATTTATTTAACATTGCAAAGTTTAAAGTAAATTATTCACCTACTATAGGAGGGTTTCGAAAAGGGTAATTAACTTCAAAAAATACAAAAGGATTTTTTTATTCTAAGAAAATAAGCAGAAACCAGATTTATTTATCTTAGTAGCAAAAATGCTATACAAATATATAGCACGGGTTACTTTTGTATTAGTCTTACTCTTATCCCATTTAAATGCTATGATAATGATAGTATCAATAAACAAATGCATATTAGTTATGTAAAGGAGACTTTGTCCTGACCGCACCAGCCTAACAGATGCGTTGGCCACTGGCAACAAGGTCTACCGGCAGCAAACACGACTACATCCCCTTCACCCGTCACGGAACTGGTTCAGCTCGGACATTTCGCACCACCAATCGTAGGTCAGGTTGGTGGTCGTAGACCTTGTTGGCCGCGGACCTTGGCGCGTCCCCGCGTCAGCTCCTGGAGTATGCCAGCCCTGTATTGTCCCCCTACCACCTCTGCGTCTGATCGATAAGTTGGAAGCTGTGCAGAGGAAGGTACATCATAAATGTTTTCTTGTATTGACTCAAAAGCCTCGTATAATATTATTTCCTTCTTTTCCTACACATCAGTGTTTTGTCAGTTATAAAACATCTAAATTAATAGATAATTTGCGTGCTTGCTCTAAACCTCCGCGGTGCGAGCGTTCAGTGGTGTAACGATCCAGCCATCCCATGCGGTGTTGCCACTTCGAACGCCGCAGCCGTGGTTAAAGGCGGTCGTGCAAGGACTCTTGAAGGAAGATATTGTTTCTGAAGTAATTACAAATCAGCCCAACACTTTACATAGTTAGGTAGAATGCTTTTATTAATAAGGTCGGATTATGATGAGCTAACAAAATAATAACTTGCATCTTCTAGTCCACAACAAAGCTATAGCAGGATTTGGGATTTATCCTAAAATACGTTTACTATGTGCTTTGGTGTCATGTTGACATATTTCAGTGAAATTAAAGGAGCCAAAAAAAGACAGGCATAAAAAAGAGCACTATTCATTATTTAATTATTTACTATGAAATTCGTATACAGTACGTGTGACTTGTTTGGATACCTGCCTAATTATGATGTTTTTATTTGTTAATCTTTTATTAACTATAATCATTGGTGTAATGTAAAATGTAACTTTAACGCTGGGCCGTTTGTAAAAGTGATTGGTGGTCTTTGGTTTGTCCAATGTGTCGTCTGCAAGGATCTGTTTGGTTTTCTTCTGTATTGGGTTTGTTTTGTTTTTAGATTGTGGAGTAGATTATGTTGTGTGGCCCAGGCCAGGACAAACTGCCTAGTATTTTGCAAAGAGTTGACTGAAAACTGTCCAGGGACATATTTGTATAGCCACTTTTTAAAACAAATCGTGTTAATAAAATGTATTTTTACGTTTAATTGCAATTTTAATTGTCTAATAAGTTATTATTTCCTAATACCTTTTCTAAGGTTCAAGACTAACATTAGGTAAGTAGCCTAGTTGCAAGTAAAAATATTAGTTAGGTATCCCTAACATTGATTCTTCTAGCCACCAACTAACTTGCATCTTAACAATACGTCTAACTTACATTAGTAAATAGGGTTTAACACTTTGTACTATAGGGTATGTTGCAGCATGTCCTAGCAAATAAAGTAGCACACCAACCTTTTAAAGGATAAAATTATTGTAAACTAAGAGTTAAGTTAATAAATTCTAACCCTTCAGTAAGTTGTTATTAAAATGCCTAATTTCAGTCTTAACTAGCATCTTACAATTCAGTGAGTCTTTGGATTCCAAATTTGAAGTGAAATATATGGTACTGGTTAGTTATGGATGCATCCAGTGTTCGATCATTTGTAAATTGAGATTCCGGAACTGTGACATATTTAATTTGATTTGTACCTATTTATGCCAATATTTTGATCTTTCTGAAAGAGAGGTACCGGAACTCCGTTTGGCCACGTTCCCCCGCAAATCGAGCACTGGATGCATCCACCTTTTACTTGGAGAGAAACTACAACTACAACTGCCGTACTGTTACTTTGGTAGCCTATCATACGGAGACCACTTATTTTAGAGGAATTTTTCAACCGAAGACAAAAAATAACTAGGCCTACATGATTGGAAAGAACATACTTTAATTGACTTACTGTCCAAATTTGACATCATAACGAATAGTGGCCTTTGAGTTCTGCCTCCCAGAAAGGCAGCGATGTCGGCGAAGATTGAATTGAATGCGCCGCCGCCGCTATACCTACTCCGCCAAGTAGGTATACAGCTCGCTGTGGCGGTAATGTTAGGTTGGGTTATCATAATACTTATATGTTTGTAGGACTTTCCTCGTTTCGTTATGATTCAAACGATACCAGATGAGTCATACTTTCGCCCGCCAAATACCCCATATACAGGCAGTGACAGGTGATGCGGACGCTCCTGTCAACAACCTGACCTTGGCCTATTTGGAGGGGATTTGGCGTGTTAAAGTATTACTCATCTGGTATCGTTAGATTCATAACGAAACGAGAAAGTCCTACAAACATATTTATGATAAACCAACCTAACATAACCGCCGCAGCGAGCTGTATAAGGGTGGCATCTGGATAATACCAAAGTACCGCAGTACCTTTCTGTACTAAACTAACAGTATCAGCCACGCCAGACTTGATCAACTTGTTTGTCTCAGTCAGTCAAATTTGCATGGATGTTGGTAGGCCTATGATCCATCCTGTGATATAGTTATGTATGTATCGTATCATCAGTTGGTCAGGTAACCATGACCCATTATATTACAGTACCGGTACAATAATTGTTTGTAAACCTTATTTAACATAAGTTAACTGTTTGTATTTGTTTCAGCTGCAAATCATTTAAAAAGGAATGATGCTGGCTATACCATGTTTACTTCTAGCAGTTGTAGTAGCAGCTCAAGGCGAAGATATACACACTACCAAAGTTTTCATCATGACGATTGGACCATGGTTTTTCAATTGGACTGATACTAAAAGTAAGAGTAATTAATTTAGTTGTTTTTGGAAGTCAAATTTGTTAGCTCATTGCTTTTGGTTAGCTTATTATTGTAAATCCTAACCAGTTTTGTACTAAAGTAAGCCAACTAATGAACACCATCTTATTTTTAAAATCATTTTTTTCAGCCTAAAAGTATGTAAGCAGACTTTGTAGGCAAGTCTTTTTTTGGTTGTATTGGAAATACCTACATTTAACTTACCAATCAAGCCTGATCTCTCTAAATTAGGCCTCCTGACTCGTTTATAGTTCAAAAGAATTACAAAATTTGCTTACTAATTGCATATGTCATCCATCGACTTCTGGTACTATGTGTTCCATATACACAGCAGCCTAGTATTTAGGGCAATGTCGCACCAGCCCAACCATGAACAGTTTAAGGCAGTTAGGCAGGTATAGATAAGATGCAAGTAAAACAGTGTGCACTAGTAAAAATGTGACTGGTCGGACCTTGTCTTTTGGTTAAAACCTATTGAATGTTAAAGCCCAAACTATAAGTCGCGCAATGTTTACCGACTTCACTCCAACCCGCAGAGCTCGCAAGCTCTGACTGATCAAATAGAAAGTGTGTTCTTCCAAGCTGTTTAATACTTTTTGTGACAGAATGTCGCAGTTAAATTTTGACACATAGAGTTTTCTTATGACTATATTTTAAAATCCTCTGTCAATTTATCTTCATATTGGTGTAGCTCCCTCCCCCCCTTAAAATGTAGCAAACTGGCTTCTGTAGACCAGACAGCCAGCATCGGATGCATCCATTATTACTTTCTCTTTTTCTAAACGTACCTACAATACAAAAGCACTACTATTGCCAGGCTTTCAATGTCTTATCTTGACACTGAACAGGTAGGCTATAACATTCCTTGTTGTGGTCATGGTCGTGGATGTGTCACGGTAGAGGTCAGGTTAGTGCGAAATCCCCTAATCACTGCAAAGTAGTGCGGCCCTCCTCTTTTTCCTTGCTAAAACCATCTCGCTAAAAACTTAATAACTAATAATATTTCTGACGACTTAATTTTAGGCTAACGAAAATCTGTTCTCTCTAGTGATTGCACATGAAGTATTTCATAGTTTAAACTTTTAAGTTTTTCAACATATTGTTTCTTGCTCCAGGCTCCCATGTAGGTAACCAGTTCTCTTATCGCCCATCGCTGTTGGACTCTCCTGACCTCCCGTCGTGGATGTTTTACACCTTCAGTGAGAAACACAACCAAGGATTTGTGTATGGAGCCCCACCATCACAGCAGAAAGACCTTCAGGTGAGGCTAGGCCGTTTAGTTTGCTTGGTGCTTATACAATTCTTAAATATTTCCGTTAATTTTACCCAAATTTAGATTTTTACAACCTAAGTTATTGTTTTTCTTTTAATTTTTGAATTCAAGTTATTTTAAGCAAAATTAGAAGACCTGATAAAACAAGTTTGACAGAAACCGCATTCAAAACGACAAATATCTTGGTGCCACCTTCCCCCCTAAGAAGTTTATAACCATGGAAATGATCAATTTTGTGGGACTATAAAAGATCGAGTACTTACTGCATGGGACCCTTGTCCTGGAGACCCAAATTCAAACTCAATCAACCCAATACAAGGGGGAAGGTGAACCTTACAGAGGCATGAGGTTATAAATTATGAATTAACATTATATTTAATCAAAATTAGCACTTTCCCTTAGCCCCCTTGTTTTCTCCTAATCACACCACTGTAAATCACGAATATCAATATATATTGATACTGCCAAGAGTCGGTGGTTTAGCTGCATGTCCACGTATCTACATATCAAGGTTAGGTCTCTTAAATATTGAGAACCATCTCTCTTTTGGAGACTGTAGCCTATTCATTTGTAGATGAAGCCACACGGCAACAAATTAAATCATCACACGATGATTTAATTTGTTATAGGCCTACTTTAATACTTCTCATTGAAATGGCGACCATACGATACTCACTTTTGGATCTTTTGCTAGTGAAAACAAGCGGAGTAGAACCTAAGTACTTTTCACTCTAGACTCATCCCTCAAAAATGAATCTAATGGGTGCTGTTTTAATAAAGGTATACTTAACTTATAGTTAAACTAGGTTACTATTACAAGAACCCAGTGTTATATCTTTAAATTTGTTTACAGATAGAGGTGGTGGGGCTGAACAGGAAAAACTATGAAGCTAAACGAAGAGTAATCAAGATGAATGTTCTTGAGAAAGATGGTAAATTTAATTGTAATTTAATTTATAAATCATAAAAATGATACAGCTGGGAATAGTCTTATATTTTAGAGAACAGTGTCATTTTGTTTATTTTAACTTTATATGAAAGTTATTTGCCACTAGTATAGCTGTTCCCACAAAACAATGCCTCCACGTGAATTTGTACTAATATTCTCTAAGTTCCAGGACTAGTTAATCAAGTCCCTGATTAAAAAAGGTGTTCTCATCACTATCGCCAAATACGGAAGAAAATTATACAATCAAGTTCTTAGAGGCCCAGCAACAGCAGATTCACTGGAAAAATTCATTTTTTTAATTATTAGGAAGCTGCTCTATGTTCTTTTTTCACTTGAAATTTAAAAGTTGTTATTCAAATAGTTCACCTTATTAGTAAGCTTTTCGGTTGTAAAAACATCTAAAACTTTAAAGAAGCAAAACACATAATCCTGTTGTAGAGCCAGCTCTCTACGAGGTCCATCTGAAGGTAGACAAGTTGAACGTAGAAGACATGTTGGAGTCGGAAAGATACAATCGGTTGTTGGACGTGTTCCGTCGCACGCTGTGGCCTGACAGTCAGGACGACTTGTACATAACCTTCCTCGCCTCAGCGGTCCATCTGGGCGCAAGACTGCCTCTCAACCCAACTGATGGTGAAGGGTGAGTAAAAATTATATGTGATTATCCACGCCATTGTCCTGTTATTACGCTTTTTTGTAATGAAAATGTTCTAAACCTTGTTACTGCCACTATTTTTAATATCTGTCGTGTTGTCAGTATTGTGATGCACATCGGTAGCAGAGCCCCGTTCTCACAGACACTCCTAGATCTACAGAAAGAGGTCAGTCCATTGCAGTCCAAAGGTCAAACTAACTGTCCAGACTTCAAACACACCTCTGTGGAACGCTTCTTCAAGCAGTACAACTTCTCTTTGGATTGGTGTGCTTTCTCCCTGGTGAGGATATTATTTGTCTATAGAACATATTTTGCAACAATCAAACTTTTAACAGAATAATAGTTTAAAAGTCGGTGTCTTTTTTTTGGTTAAGTTTTTTGTTGGTTTCTGAAAAGGTTTGTGATGTCACCTCAGTATGAACCATAAGGCTCAGCCCCAAAGCGAAATTCCGGGTGACAGTGTGGGAACAAGACAGTGTGAATGTCGGAGAACAAGAGTCTGCAGATCCTTTAAATTCTCTTTTTCCAGTTAAAACAAAATTTACAAAGTAAACAATATAAGTTCAATTTTTTTATATTTATTCTTGGTTGAATAATTTAAAATTACTCTTAAATACTTATTTTAGTTTGTTGAAACACACTACAGTAGACCCCCCCTTAACCGACCCTAATGGGACCGGACCTAGGTCGGATAGTTCAAAAGGTTGGATAAAACGGGCAATCCCTAAAATCATAACATAATGAAGTACTATTCATTTAGAATTATATAATCATTATTTTGAAGTCATACTTGCATTATTTATAAAATAAACTACTCTTATCTCCTTTTTCATATTGATAGAAATGTCACAAATAAACACAAAACACGGTTAAGTCAAATAGGCCTACTTTCAGTGAATATATTATAATACTAGGCAAGAGTCAATAAAATCCCTATTTTAATAACTTTACTACTGTAGTGTATTAATTAATGCTTTCCAAATACATCGTAATACAGTACAGAACCTTTTGTCGTCATTAAAGATACAAGCGACAATTTTCTTACAAGACAGGACGTTTATTTATGACCACTCACTCCGTTTGAGGCACAAAAACTATCTTGACCTTGGAGTTGTTAACCCCCTTTCCCTGCCTTCCTTACAAGTTGCATTGTTTGTTTACTCCAGCGATGAGATAATCAGTTCTCAAAATCGTAACGCACTTTATGATGTTATAAATTTGCCGCACAGATAACATATCTGATCAGATGTGCTCAAGCTACGAGCGATGATGACAAACTGACAATAGGCTATGCTATATTTTTTGTGATCAACACAAAATAACTTATTGTTAGTCATATCCTGTGGAGATAAGCGTATGGTTCAGTTCACATCGCCCAGCGTGGGAGCGGAAATGCCGAGATTCCTAGAAAGCGGCGGTTAAACCGAGCTGCTCTCAAAGCAAGGTCGGTTAAAACAAACTGTATTATTTTACGATCAAAGGCGGATAATCCGATTATCGGTTAATACGAGGTCGGTTAAGAGGGGGTCTACTGTACTCAGACACTGAATGATTTCTCTGCTATCTTTTGCCTTCTTTGTACAATAAACTATTCAACCAATTATCACTGTTGTAGAGTTTTAAACCATCAAACACACAAGAAAGTCCAGACAGAAACCCCGAGACAGCTGACACATCACAACAATGGCAACCTGTTAGTCAGCAAGAGTTGCCAACCCGAAACTACCACTCGGAGCTTGCAGTCACATTGATATTGCCACTGTTCTGCTTCATCGTGTTGGCCGCACTGCTAACATTCATCCTATGCTTCCAGCAAGACACTGTGTGAGTAATTCATTACAGTTGATTATTATTCACATTTAGCCTACTATGCATAGTAATAATCATGCATAATAATTTACTTGCATGCATTTATTATGCAAGTAATTGTCAATAATTATGGTGACAATTGTATATTTTAGCTGAAAGTGCTAAGCTAGTTAGTCACTTTGTGTACTTAAAGAATTTGAGTTTATAGTTGTTAACTTAACTCAATATAACCTAACACAAAGCTTTAATGACCTGTTTTAATCTATAAATGAATTGATAGTGCCCAGTACAAGCACTTTCAATTTAGTTTGTCCAAAAACGTTAAAAGTAAAAAGCCTTTTGTATCGCTTTATCTAATTGTGCACAATATAACAATTGCAGTATGATTTCATAGATTTTTTAGGCTACAAATTGTGTTCATTTGTTTAGTTACTAGGTAGAAACCTTTTAACCATCTAAGCAGCTCAAAACCCAGTTTTTACAATGAAATAGTGCCTGGACCATTGAAGTAATTAAGTTAAAGTTTAATCGTGCATGTGCTTCATTCCAACGGTTTGTAGTTGCAATTGCTAGAGCCTTGAGTAAATCATCAGGTCTAATTATACTGATCATCAACATCAGGAGAATGCTGTATGTTCTGTTGAAGTTAGGGTTGTGCTCGTGAAAAGAGATAGGATAACTCATCTAAATTAGAGATAGAAAAAATGTAGGCACATTAAACAGACAGATAACTTGACCATATACTGTAGAATAGATGACATGGATTACCTGAAAACATGATTGACTACCTTTTGTTGGTTGCAAGGAGTTGAAGTTTTTTGACCAAAAGCCGTATGTACTGATAAGTTCAAAACAGCTGTAGTAACTTCAACTAAACAAGACCGTTTGACTGTAGCACATGTAATAGTAGTTTACGCAACGATTGCGTTAAGTTAGTCTTTACGATACGAGTGGAAAATTTAAGGCACGAGCCTTGGCGAGTGCCTTAAAAACTTCTACGAGTGTCGTAAAGACTATTAACGCGAGTTGCGTACACTACTTTACCTACGACAGTTTTTTAATTACTAACTATCTGGTTTTTAATTACTAAAAATCACTACTCATTACTTCTTAGAGAGGTTATGTTTTCGTTTATTGTCAGTGCCAATGAAAGGAAAGTGATGTGACTTATTGTATAATCAGCTGATTTACTGTAATTACGTGTTTGTAAAACTTAGTTAAAAAAATACGTTACCTTTTTCAGGGAATGTGTTCTGCTAGCAACATTCTTACCATAAATACTGCATCAGGTACAATTAGGAAAATTTTGCATTTTGTTTTTGACAACTGAAAGATTATAGTGAAACTGTTAATTTACAGTTAGATCTCAGCATCGAATATTATAGAATATTATAAACAGTTTGTTCTCTCATTTCCATCTCGTCAACTTCACTTTCACTAACTGACATTATTAAAATCAGTTTTCCTTTAACTTCCACAAACTTAGGTTAAGAATACGCGAGTATCAACAGGAACAAGTCAGATCAACAATTAAATTGGTCAACTGATCAGCTGATCAGCTGATTAGTTGACGTTCGAAGCATTACAATTTTAATTCTTTTCTCTCGATACTTGAACCTCATTGGTCCGTTACCTGTGTTGATATGAGAAAAACTATGCTGATATGAAATGAAACTATGCTGATATGAAAGTAAACAGCTGTTAAGTGAAACTTTTCAATTCTAAGAACTGAACTGAAATGGCTACTTTAAAAAACGGTCGTAGGTAAAATAAATTTTCTTAACACCCAAGCTCTAGGGAGAGGCAAGGCAATCTAGACTACTTTAAAAACTTGGATGAATAAATCTTTTCAGTTTTGGACCTAAATCTCCAAATCACTGTACACTGTACAGTGTTTTTGCAAATTCAAAATTACATACTGTTAATTCTATTTTTAAATACTCGTCAATGTTATTTATAATTTCAATCATCAGATTTGTAAAAAAATATTTTAAATTCCCTTAACTTTCTTTGACACTCACTGTCGAATAAACATAAGCATGTATCTCAGTTAAATGTTTATATTAAATTATTTAACTTGTAAAGCAGTAGTGCAATTTCATTTAGCTAGACTATTAATTTACTGCTTTTTACTTACTACCTAACCAATGTTGATTGTATAGTTAGTTTCCAAATTAATATTCCAGGATACAGAATGCATCAGCTGCCATCATAAACTCCATATCTGTAATGTTTGAAGGTCTTGTAAGGTATGTTGCTGAGTTTGTAGAGTTGGCAAACATTCTCTCTTATCGCTAGTGTGACTTGAGTGGTGTGGTGTGTGGAATCGTATAGACACAACCAAAACATACAACAATTTATCTTAAATTTGCTCCTTGATGTTGATAGTTTTTACATTGCATGAACATAAAACCGTTTTATCACAGTGATTTAACAATCATGTCATAGATGTTGGGACACACTTTTGTGCCACGACTCTGACATCATCAACTGGTAGACAAAATATTCTAGTCAGAATCGTCACACAGCTTAAGGGCTTAAGGGCTCTACCCCTGCCATTGCGTCCCACGCAAGGATCTGGGGCAACAGTGTTCCCGAAGGCTACGTTTCACGTAGAATCAAAGTTAGGGTTTCATTTTAATGAGGATTAAATTATCTAAAATATGGTGGTTGCAATATGTTTACTATTGTACCATAAGCCTGAAAATCTTCCTTTGAATGTAGACAAAAAATTACAATTTTTAACTGCTGTAACTTTTTATAGAATCGTTACTTTAAAATTCTGAAACCAGGATCACATAGGTTGTTCCTTGTTCTTTAAAACCCCGTTTATTGTTTTTCGCTAGCATGTATAGGTAGCTTAAAAAGGCAGTTGCCGTGGACCTCTGCAACTAGCAAATTTAAATCCGTAACGTACCGAACCTACCGAACACAACATCGTACTGAGAAATCCGAGCTGAGGTGCTCCACACACATTGACACAGGACTATTTTTATAGGTTATGTCAATTTATGTATTTTATATCTTGCATCATATTTATTTCAACATAATATGTTCCTATTGAATAAAAAATCTGTGTCCTTCTATACTAATGTAAAAAAAGCAAAACAGAACTTGTGTGCAATCCCTATTAAACTAACCCCTGCTGTCAACTTCCACCCAAGCTCGACAACGTTTATTTAAGGTGGGCCTCTCCCGCCAGCTAAACCACACATTAGTAAGCTAATATAAATTGCACATGTAAGAGATTTGTACCTGCGCAAGTAGAAATACCTTAATGCTACACTCGTCAGTGCAACACCTTAATTGAGCTACAATGCCACTTTTGGCCAATCGTTAAGTACATCCACTGCCTGACAGAACATGATTAAAAGCCAATGATCCGGTAAGTAGCTATAGCTACTAGCTAGAGATGGTAACTTTAATGTGGCTTAAAGACGAATTCCAGGCAACATCTTTTGCAGGATATCCATAATTTCTTTTCACCTCAATTTTCTGTTGAATACAGCAATTACATGGACTTGCTGCAACTGTCAGCATCGTGCCGAGGTTTGCCATCAAGTTACAGCAGGGAATGTGTTTCAATATTATTTCTTTACATGGTGATCCTTGTTTGGTTCCGTTTGACAAACTTTGATTTTTCCTCATACTGTTGAGCCCCAATCATCCAATCTTCATTTATTTGACCGTATATATTACCGTACCTGACAATCCCTGCGAATGATTGAACACTGCAAAATGATTTGCTATTTCAATGTGATATACATCTTGCTGTTTTCGAAAGGAAGGGGCCAGGTTTGTCAATTGTTTGCTCTTCATAATGATAACTTCAAACTAGAAAAAGTTTGTGAATTTATGTTTTAAAACAAACTTAAAACAAAACATTGAATGGGTTTTACAACAGAGAAAAAATTACTAATTATTAATTATTAAATTCACATTTTAAATTTTTAACACACTTAAAATATGTTACAATTCTTTTGTCATCCGGCCTTTAAACTTATCCGATAATGCCAAAGCCAATTAATTTTGATTGGATAATTGGGACTCTACTGTACCTAACAAAAACTCCAAACTTTTATTTTGGATTGTATTGAGTTTTTGGATTTGAAAACTATGTAATTACTTGTGGTGATGCTGAAACTTCCTCTTGATTTTGAAGAATACCTCGTATTGGTTCTTCCATCTTTTATGTTTACGTTTAAGTAAAATAGAAACTAAAAAAATACGGTAATGTTTAAACAATTTTTTTCAAAATCACTTTTTTAGTAGATCTTAAGGAATACACTCTATTACTTTTTTTATCTTATTCGTTTATCCTGTCCTCAACACCTCAACCTATTTTGTGTCGCTTATGGTTATTTTCTTTTACTAATGTAACCGCATTATTAATGGCTCAGCTATAAATCATTAATGATGTGTAGGAAGCGCAACGAGGACACTCCCCAGTCACTTCTTGTCCAGTATGAAGCTGTCCATCGAGCCTCCAATACCCTCCGATCTTTGTCCAACCAGCGAGACTCTAGTCCGAGGTATGTCTCACAAATATAAAAACTGAGTTTTAGCAGACCAAAGATTTATATTTTTCTGAGTAAAACTGTTACCCAAAGTTCCTCAATCAGTTATTATAATCAACAGTTGTAATCGGTACATATGAAATCATCAGTATGTCAAAAAGTAATTATATTTTCTGTGGTAGTACTTGAAAATCAGGTAATTTGATCTTTTCCCAGTATGTTTAACATCAATGATGTCCACAAAAGAGAGAATTAGTTTTGATAATGAATCGACAAAAGGAAAATATAAGGCTCGATATAGAAACCTCTGTTATCCTATTCACAATTCAACAAAACTCGAGAAGTGTGTTAAATATACACTAAAGTGAGCACAATCTGTACACAAAATTTCCCTAACTTTCTAGTGATTTGTCTAAGCATAGAAAACACTGTGCAGGTGTTTAAGGCCACCTCCTATCTCACTTCACCCCATGCACATATTTTATATGTTTAACCACTTTACCCTATTAACATCCACCTACTGGTGATGGAATTCAACCAATGGTGGGATCTGGTTAGATTAGTAATGGCTGAAGTAAGGAACACTTGATCTTATATGTAAGTAAACTATAATGACTGGAGCTCGATGCAGATCTTAATTTAAGGATTCCACTTGTAGGCCTATTATTATTGCAATAACAAAAATCTAATTTTTCTAGGTCGTCATCAGAAAGAGGTGGTCTGCGACCTAATCCACCTCCGTACACCGGAATTCATCATTCGTAAGTATCTAATCCAATTACTATTGCATTTAACATATTTTGTGCTATTGTTTTTTGAGAAATAAACTTCTTGTTAACTTCTCATTGACAGAGAAAACGGAAAAGCAATAGGATTATTTAGGAGAAAAAAAGGAGAAACATTATACAGTTACAGAGTAATCCTGTAAAATTTAGCAAACACTTGTAACCAATTACACAGTAATCACTTATTGTAATTTCAATACAAAATTTTAAATTGTATGTACATATACATAAAATTTGAAGTTTTAATTTTAAAAATACTCACAAATGTTTTTTATAACACTTTTCCTTTATTATGTTGATTCTAAATTTCTAATATTCTACTGTAGAACCCCACTAATCCGTCATCTACAGGAAAGGGACCTTGGCCGGAAGTCCAGACTATCCGAGGAGCAGCATGTTCAGGATCATGCCGCCATTGTGTGAGAAATGTTTCTGTTACCTCTGAATATATTCAGGAGTTTGATGTAATTGCAGATAACAACAATAAAGTTTTTGTGATCACGGGAGACAATAATAATGTCCCCGCGAGTTCGGGAGATTTACAATATTTTGCTGCGATTGCCGAAGACGATAATGATTGAATTTTCCATGGTTGCAGGGAGGATTTCTCTAGTATTTTTTTGGGACCACTGTAGAGATGATAAAGTTTATGTTCCCAGGTTTGATGGCACAGTTGAATTATACAAGGAGTCGGACTAGCCGAGGTCGGATTAGCAGGGTTTTATTGTATTACAATATATAATCAATTAAATTTAGTATTAATAGTGATAATCTTACTGTTTACTTAATGCACAATCAGTGGTGTAGTGGGGCTGAAAAACATGGGAACTGTGTTTCCACTTTGCTTTTCCTAAGAATGATGTCCATATAAAAGATAATCCGATTTTTGGCGAACAAATTCTTCAGTCACAAAATCTTTAACGTCTCCTGCGGTCGCAGAAAGATCTAGATAATTTCTGTGGTCCGGTAAATTCATAAACATCTCTTACAATCATGATGAAATCGTGAACAAGGCATTGTCGTGTCCTGCAGTCCGAGAGTCATCATCCTCGTCTGCTACAATAGTGGCCAGGTTACAAAAATCTACCGTGATTAAGGTGCAATCATGATCATCTACTGCGGTCATAACGAGATCTTGATCGTCTCCTATGAACGAGCAAAATCAAAAATGTCTCTTGGAGTTAAATCACAAACATTTCTCCCACAAACACGGCAAAATCATGAAGGTATCCTGTAAATTTAGAAAAAAATTGCTTAATCGTTGGGGAAATCATTAACTTCTCTTGTGGTGCGGCAAAAGCTTTAGCGTCTCCCGTGATTGCTTTGTTATCATGAACATCGCGTTTAAATCGTATACATCTCCGATGTTAGTCAGTTTTCAGAAAACGATAAGGATCCTTCCAACGCTGGAAAATCTACAACTACACCACTGTGCAAACTATTTCTTACCCCCCCCCCCTCTTTGAATCCAGGTTTATATGTTTAAGTTGGATAAAAGACAAGATCAGATAGTGCTGAGCAAATACAAATAAATTAATGATGCTCATAGTGCTAAGTGGGTCAGGATCACTTGTTGAGTTAAAGAGTCCAATTTACATGTCCGCCTGTGATTAATTTTTCTGTTGTCTAAAAAAATTAACTTAGTGTAAAATAATAAACCTAATTTAATTTACTTTGTTCCAGAAACAGAGAGGAGTACCTTGATGATGATGATGCCAAGACATGGTATTGTTAGATACTACAGATAGATTTGTCTTACTGCAAACAGTAGAATGTAGCTTGATATCTCCAGCTTTGACTTCCAAAGTTGGTCTAAGGTGTAGTACAATGTACTTGCAGCAATTTACATTTCTTTAAATCCAAACAAAAGAAGATCTCCCTTTCATAATTTAAATCCACAGCACTAAGTCCAGTTTCCTTAATCCAATGAAGACTCGGCTATCCAGCCAGAGTAATAAAGACAAAAGGTAATCTTTGACTGTACAATTCATAGTGTAAGACTCCACACCATAGCTACATGACCGATAAAATGTCTTGCACATTTAACTTTACAGTAGTTACATCTAGCTCCTAGAATGTAAATATGATTGAGCTGTGACCACTTCATTTCTTGGAATGGGAGAAATTGCTGTGAGATTCTATATTCAAATTAAAAGTATTTATTTGACAAGAGTTAACATATCCCCATAAGTAATACGCAGTTAATGTTTAAAAGGTGCAATTATTTAACCTAAAAGATTTAAAGTAATAATAGTAGTTAAAAAGTAGTGTAAAAAGTAAGGTTATTAGTCTTGTTTACACACGTTTATTTGCAATAGGATATTCAATGTCATGTATAACTCTTTATATGACTTTATAGGTTGATAGTTTAATGACAAAATAGTTTATACTTTTGTGCTAGTTTATTTTCTTATAGTAATCAGTCATTGAAATACATATGATAATGAAAGGAAAAAAACAGTGGGCAGTGAAAATATAACAAAACTTTAGCATTTCAATGATTTTAAAAGTAAAAAAAGATCCTATGGCTAGGGAAATTATTTCTTTCCATATAATCATTAAATCTAAATACTGATTAAAATAACTACAGCTCCATCATTATTTTACAACACTGACACTATCAAATGTAGTTTAAGTCTTTAGAAAAAAATCCATGATAATAAATGCACTAATATAAGGTCAAGTTATATGTTTAACTTCATTACTATACTACAACTTACTTATCTAAACTACAAAGAGTTAAATCTAGTCTTTTTTTGTAAATTTTAATTTATTTAAGATGGTAAGTGAACTGTAATACTAGTTTCATCATTTCTAGTCATTCAAAATATGCTCATTTTATTGAATGAACTATTCAATTTATTATTTTATAATTTATTTATAGTTTTATTTATAATTTATAATTATTTGCATTAATTAATAGTAGTCCTACAGATTGATGTATAGCCTACTATAAATAGACAATATTTAGTCAAATGGGTTTTTTTATGAAATATTTATAAAATCAGAGAGATAAGTTTAAGTTTTTGTTATTATAGGTTGTATTATACCAGTTATATTTAAGACCAAAAAGTAGTGTAATGACATTGACTATAAGATAACAAAAAAACATCCTCCAAATTTAAACTGTCCCTACTTTTTTTTTTACTGTTAGTTTTAACCTGGAATGGTGCTGTCTGTTAATTTGTTTCAGTTTTACTATCACAATAACACAACAGCACTTGTTCGTTGCGTTTGTACGCAATCAAGACAATATTCAAAATAAAAAAACTTTTGTGAAACTATTGTTTTTTTTTTTGTTTTTTTATACCCTTACCAGTTTATATTAGAACTATTAATAACTATATTGTATTTTATTTTTCCTCAATAAAGAAGCATTTAATTTTTTTTTTACTATTGAATATTTCTGAAATTGTAAACTGCTCCCTAAATTTGAATGGATAATGACTAGTAAGACTAGGTACATTCAAGGTATAACTAGTCTTAAAACTTGCTTCATCTCTAAACACTATCCTCAAAACACACACCCTGGTGTAACTAAATCGTTAAAATAGATCAAGCCTGAATATCTAAATACAATTTAAAACAACCATGTGTTATCATGACAAGGGGATGCTTAATTTTGATATCTTTAGTCAATGGTGATAGTTTAAATGTTGAAATGTGAACTATGTGTAATACTAGTGAATAAATTAAATATTTAGTCAATTAATCAATGAAAAATGTAGCTTATCCAGTGCAGCTCCAGAGGGTAGGCCAGGTAGGCCCGGGACTACCAAAAATTGTATTAGATACGGTATTTTAAAATTATAAATAAATAAAGACATTTAATTACTGTATATGTAAATAAAGGGAAAGCATTAAAACTGACTATTTTGCATCTACATTTTTAAATTCCCCCCTTTTTGCAGGGAAGCCCCTCAAACGTCTCATACCCTGATCTAACTCCTTCTTGATCCTTGTCATGTCTACTCAAAAAATTATTCCTGAAGCCGCCCTGAGCTTATCTATGCAATTACATATCAATGAGTATTTTTATTCACCAATAAGATCTCTTTACGATTTTACATGCTTCCGTAAGTGATTACAAGTTTTTGGCTTTGAGTGTGTTAAGCTAGTAATATACAGCATTATCAATAGTTTTAAATTATCACAATTGGGTACCACATTCATAGAATAAGTTGTTTATGTACAGTGTGATCAATATTTTATGACGGTCAAAGAATATTGGACTTTTTGGATTGTGTTCATACATTTATCACACAATTATCAATATCTCCAGACAGTATTTGAATATTAAGTTTGTAAGCTACCATATTCATAGATTGAGTTCAATTTTTATACTCATTAATTTGAGAAACAAAACTGAGTAATTTGTTTCTAGACATACAAATTAAATTAATTTGTTTTTACTTTTTAAAATTAATATTGTATTGTTGATGTTTTACCATTGTTTGTTTATTGTTTGGTCAGTAGTGTTAGCAGTTGTACCAAATAAATGTTTTGTTTTTGTTTTTAATTGTTGTTTGAATTCAATCCAATATAAAAGAAGTAATCATACAGGATGTATTTTTTAAACGCAACCCAAATCAAAAACTGAGGGACACGGACACATTTTAAGGACTAAACAAGATTTATGTTGGTATCCGTGTATTCTTTACTACATTGCTGATTAGCTGATATACATTATTGCTCAGGTATCTAAAAGGTTTAGCGTTATAGGAAATGTATAAGACTCAACATGGTGTTTTTCTAAGCAAAGGATTAAAAGAATACTTTAAAAGTAAATCATTGGTTCTATGCCAATAATGGTTTGAAGTTAAGATTCCAGGTGTGATTCTAGTAACTTATCTAATAAATCAATTATTAGTGACATGTACCCAATAGTAAGGAAACCGGAAGCGTAGTAAAAAATGAAGACCTACAATACATTCTATTTGAGCTTGTCAAAACATCATTATTAGTCTTATAAATAAATTCCTAATAACAATAAACCTCAAAGATATGCAACAATGCATATCAGCTGATCGGCAACGAAGTAAAGAAGACAGGGATACCAAGATATAAGCTTGTTTTGTCGAAAAAGTGCCTCACAGTCACAGTACTTGTAATAATATTTGTGTTGCGTTTGAAAAGAAAACACCCTGTATTATTACATATTTCAGGTTATCCTGCGTGTGAGGTATTCCTATGCATCATTTACTTGCTTAATGTTATGTGACAATGAGGTCGTATGGTGATGGCTGCTACAGTAGTTCCAAAAGTTGTTTATTAGGTTGATCTTATTTTGTGTAAAAGTTACAATCAAGTAGAAAACCAGGGGTTTCCTTGTAAAAAAATCTTTTAACTTATAACTCAATGTGAGTGTTTCATTAAAGAAGGTTTAAAGTCTAAATTAGGATTTAGACTCTGATAACTCTGCTATCAGTCACACTACCAACTGAGCCACTGACTACAAAATATTTCTTACCTAAACTATTACAGCCACAAAATTTAAACTGGTGGATCACGCAAAGTGTTTAGTACGATTTTCTTTCGCTCATTGAAAAATAAAGGAATTAAAAGATTATTTTAAATATTTGCCATCTCATATCTCAAGATAATTCTGGATTTAGATAACAAATTTACACAGCATTGTGTTTTCCAATGGTTTAAAGAATATCCCTGCTATAGGTCTCTTACTCTTAGATCTCTTTTTTTCAGAAGATATAAATATTACATTAATAAAAAAAATATAGAGGCATTTTTCTTTCTGATGAAATCAAAAGACAATTTGAATTTATGTCCAAGAAAAACTTCTTCGAACATAAGTCGAGAGGGATAAGAAGTTGTGAGGGACCAAAAAACTACAGCCATTTTACTCTCCCAAATAATGTCTTGGTAACACAATTTTTTTTGTAGTTTTTTGCTATTTAAGACCAGCTGAGCCTAAATCTATCTAATCCTATCTAAGGCCCAGGATCGTATATCTTTATCAGGATCGTAATGACGTAAATCTTCCAGTGCTCACCAAGATGGCGAAAAAATACATATCACTATAGGGTTCTTTGGAAAAACCTGAGGGGAAATACACCACTTTTACTTTATCCCCTATACCTATACCATAGTATGTGGAGAAAGTTTTTTTTTTATCAAAATTTTCGAGTTTGAGTGGAGTTATCCGTTTTGGGTCCCTCTGTACCCAAAAAAGTGGTTTTTGAAGTGATGTCTGTGTGTGGATGTGTATAGAGAGAAAAGCTACAGACCACACACCTGTGGTCGGATATTGATGAAATTTGGTCTATAGGTACTAATCCATAATATCTCCCAGGCTCTTTTAACATGTTTTTAAATTTTGATTTTAATGGTAATTTTCCCATAGAACCCATAAATAACCGAAAAATCAAGCTTTCTCGAAAATGGCCTGAACAATTATGATAAAATCTTTGTATATTATAGCCCCTTGAATTCTGAACAAAATGGTACAACTCCCATAGATGTAGAAATTACGGTTCAAAACTTATTGTAACCTATGTTATTTTCCCATAAAGTAATGGGAAATCAGATTTTTTCTAAAATCTGGTTTTGATTAACATTAGTATGTTATGGTCCTTATAATTCTAAACAAAATAGTGCAACGGTATTGCTGTAAAAATTGCGGTTCAAAAGTTATTGCTACTTTTGTGATTTTTCCTACAAAATATCATAGTTACCCCTACCGCTTACCGATGATAAAGGTTGTTGACAAGCTTATGGGAGAAAGTATTTGTCAGATTGCTGATTATAAAATATTATTGTGTGTGTTAGTGTCTCTGTCTCACAGAAGAGGACTCATATTTGTTTCTCTATGGCGACACCGGAGTGACCAACACATGTGGTTTGTTATGAATTATACATCCTCTGCCAACTAGCGGCTTTAAAATAATTCCCTCTTGCCTCAAGCTTTTGCATTTTGCGTTTTACAATATGTGTTTTTTAACAGCTAAACAGTTTTTCGTCTGTTGTATATTTTATTGAAGATGGGTCAAGTATTAACAGGTTCCTAACTTTTAATTTAAATATTTTAACTGTGTTGAATTCAGTTTTGAATTGAGATAAAATGGGAAATTCTAGCGTAAAAATTTTCCAATCAATTTACATTGAAAACCCTAAGTTACAATAATTGTAAGAAGAATGATAAATTAAAACGATCTCTCATAGAGTATTTTCAAATGTCTGATG